GAAGTCAGGAATGAGATGCCTGATTTGCCAAAGGTTGATGTGCAAGCTAACTGCTTTCCCTTTACCCCACTTCTTTCTCTCCACATTCTCCCACTCTCTGTTTGGTGGTTTCTTCATGCTGTAGAAAGAATCAGGTGACAAACAACTCATCTAGAATCAGTGTAACATCCCAAAGAGAGCTCAAAACAGAAAAGGAGGAAAAGATTTTTGTGAGTACAAGGCTTATATAGTCTGCATATCGGTCTACTGTTATTTTAACAATAAATTTTCCACCAAATTCATTGGGAATAGAGGCTTCAGTGATAACCAGTTTCTAAAAATAATGAAAAATTATTGCTAAGACCACCAGCAAGGGAAAGTTTGAGACCAGTGACTATCTTTTCTGTGCCATCTGCAAGCTTTTCTCCCAGCGCTCATGGTCTGAGTCAGGCCTGGCCTGTGCTGTCTCCTGCCCGGTCAAACAGGTAAAGCACAGAGGAGGGAAATGGAAGTGTTGCATAAGCCAGGGAGGAGGCTGGATATGCGCATGGGATATTGAGAAGCCAGGGCTTGTAGAGTGGAGGAGGTTTGCGGGACATTAAATGATTCTAGTGGTGGGCTGGAAGCTTTAGTTAATGGGATGGGGAAGTAAAAGTCTTGTGGATATGAGGATATGGGGAACAGATGAGAGCGTTGTGGGAACAGCTGCATGGAGAAAATAGTTCATACTGTAAAGATGAAGTGACAATGGCTCACAAGATATAAATTCATAGGAAAACAGATAAAACAGATTTTTGTAGTTTACCTTCTAAAGGAGCGTGGCTTGTTATATACCTGTTGTCTGCAATCTGGCCAACCAAAAAGGTAGGATTTTGAGCGAGCATTAAAAAGCAAGTCAGCCTGCATGTGCTAGTGCTGCAAACGCTGTGGAAAGAAACTGCTGAAAAATTACTGAGAGGAATTGAGAGGAAGGCTATGGATTTAGTTTAAATATCTTGATCAAAAGTAAACTGCTGTCTTTTAAACTGCATTTTAAAATCCACTTTTCCTCTTGGACAGTGTTGTCGGTGTAGCAGCTTGGGTCTGAAATACATTTTCCTTTGTTGCACCTCTCCCCATCTTAGCCCCATCCCCTTTTCTTCTCCCTCCCCCCACTTGACAAGTATCTGCACTTACATCACTCCCAAGGTCATCACAAGTCAGCTGAGGAAGGAGAAATGACTAACTTCCTTCCCTTTGGGTGTTAGCACACCACTGCTATGAAACGGTTAGGTCACCTGTCTTCCCAACAAGAAGCACAAAGTATGTAATACCCATAAGTATCCAATTATTTAAGTGCCTCTCTTCACCTTGGAAGAGCTACTAAATGTCACAAAAATGTCACATTTACATGGAGCCCTATGTTGTTTTAGAAACACTGTGAATTATGAGCTGATAATTGCAGAGGAATTTGATATCGGCAGGTCTATGAAGGAGTTATGTAAAATTGTAGAAGTGCCATAAAATTCAAAAAGAACTGGAAAAGAGGAAAGTGAAAGGAGAATTCAGAGCAGAGCACAGTACGGTTGTAGGTGGTGGCAAAGATAAGAAATGTAGATCTGGAGCAAGTCTAGTTATGAAATTGCATCAACTATCCTGGAGATGTCAATTTGCTTTTTTGGGCCCAACTCATCTTTTTAGGCAAGAGGCTTTTACTCCTGCCTTTAGAAGTACAGAGTTTCTGATTTAGCTCAGTCTTCTCCAAGGACTGCATGGCACACAACTAGAAGTCACTGTAGAAATGTAAATGGCTGTTGAGGAAGTATTATAGTTCTTTTGAAATCTGTTCAACTCCTTGAGAAAGAGTGGACTGAAGTAACTAAGAGAAAACAGAATTCATGTCAGCAACTGGCTGAAAGGCACAGGCATAGAAAAAGGACTGGGTACAATGCTAGCGTGAGTAGGCAGAGATGGATGAGGAGAACAGGGAAGTGTGTCAAGTATAAACAAAACTTGGGTGAATGGTGAGTGCTTGAGAAAAAAAGGAAGTTGGAGATTAATGAGGGAGGACAGTCAATGGAAGGGGTTGATGATGGATAGAAAGTGAGGTTAGAGGGTCAAAAGTTTTAGGACCTCAGCCAGTGTTAGACTGCAAGCAGAAGGAAGGAAATGGCAAAGAAAAAATCAAGTAGAAGATACGAAACCATTTAAGGAGGAGAAAAATCATGTCAGGTAGGGAATATGTGGGGAACCAGCTTGGTGGAAGAAGGATCCGAGGGAGTATGAATGGAAAAAATAATGTGAGAAAGAGAAATAGAAGGTGATCAGGAGAGAAATGGTGATTGATGAGGTTATGTTAATTGTGAGTGAAAAATGAGAAAAGGAGAAAAATACCAGTGTTGGCAGGAAGGTGGGAATAAAAAAGGAAGAAAGAATGAAAGAGAAAGGAAAGAGATATATAAAAGAAAGGAATAAACTGGGACATGTCCAACTTGTGATGATCCTTGCAGGATGGTTTTGGAATCCTGAGAATGTTAGAGACTGTTTATATAATCTGCCACAAATGTATTACTGTGCAGTATCACCAAAAGTATTGCCAAGTTCTAAAAACTGACTAATGCTAAAATATCAGCCTGTGTAAAATATCAGCCAGCAATGTGTTTCTTTTTCCTGCTTTTCCTTCATGTAGCATCCTCCCTTCCCTCCCCTACTCCTTGTGAAATGCACAAAAGCGACCTCTGAATGCACAGATGCTGCCAGCCCTTGTCAGAGAGAAAAAGCCCGGGGCTCATCAGGCACGTGTGTGCTGGCACTGTGTGTGCTCCTTGGCTGAAGTGTAGCTGATTTGCCCTGAAACAGAAGCAAATTGTTTTACAGACTTCACTATAAGGCAACGAACTTGATACGACACCATTATGGCATTGCCAATCGGGAGCAACTGAGTGATAGCGCTTGTCTCGCTACTTTTGTAAGCTCATGATCTTTACTTTTTTTTCCAATGACTCCATTAGAAGCAAGTTAATAAAAAATGGGCCTGAATTGCAGCCACAGAGACTCATATCAGACCATAAGAAAATGTCTTGAAAGGTGGTTTAGAGAGATCCTTTTTTTCTGATTGTGTTTTAAAAGCATGCTAACAGCATATAAATTAAAAAGGGATTGAAGGCTGGGGCTTTAAGATATATACTGCAGGAGGACAAGCCAGTACAGGATCAGGCAAAGGAGGAAGAAAAATCAAAGGGATGTAAGATCGATTAAGTATAAACCACATCAGAAACACAACTGATGAGATGCTTACTCATTCAGAGTCAAACAGGGTAGAGAATAAAGTACTGCTTTACACCAGCTCTTAGGGTGATTGTGGCCAGGCTAAAACAGTGGAATAAAGTCTAGTACTATGGGCTGCAGTCATCACAGAATCTGTACTTCAGACTGTTTTATAGGATTTGATCTGTGTGTGCGTGTGCTTTTCTCTTTTTCTGTGGGAAGTGTCTCAGCAGTAACAGTGCAGGATTTTTTATTTGTATTATCCCTGATTCATTATATTCCATAGAGAGCTGTAATTGGCGAGAGGCTCCAACGCTTGCACACCATGTTTTTTGGTACGGAGAATAATTTCAAGGTGCTGGGCTGGCAGCTCCTGTGTGAGTGTTTTAGTCCTTGTTAGTCAATCTGCCTTCTGAGGCAAACTATTGTGAACCAGCTCTTTGGGGCTCATTGTCCAGGCTCCTTTACAACCCACAAAGGGAATGAAAAGTCCTGAAGGAGGCACCAGGGAATACTCCCTGCTCAATGAAACTCTGCGGCCCCTGTAGAGCCACCAGTGAGGGCAGGAGGTTGGAGCAGTCCGGGCTGTGCTCCTTTGTGCTGTGGCAGATCGGAGCATTCCAGAGCCAAGGAGCCCAGGTGGTGGGATAGGAACAAACCACAGAAGCCATGAAATGGCTCTATGGGGACCCTGGGGGCTGAGTCAAGGATGAATGGTATCAGGAAGCAGAAACATAAAGATGCTGCAAGCATCCAAGGAATCTTATCTCCTATAGTGTGCCAGGACCCTTCACACGGACAAGTTTGAAAGAAGAAAAGGAGATTGTCTGTTATTATCTCATCTACATACCTCCACATTTAGGGTGAAGAGCTGTCTGATACACGTTTTGAATGAGGCTGTCTCACTTGTCCCCCTTACTCAACAGATATGGGAACAGCCAAGCTCCTCGCTTCTACAGTTAAAAGGAAAATTATTTCTTCCCTGTTGTTCTGCTTTGAGGATCTTACACACTGATGAGGAACTTTTCTGAGAACAAATCATACAATAGAAGGTTCTTTTCTTGTCCCTCATTAACTGAATCACATTAATTATGGGCAGGAAAAGTGAAGCAGTTATATTAAATGCTGAAGCTTCAAACACAACCTAAACCTCTCCAAGGACTTAGCTTCACAATAACACTGTTCTGTCAGCTCCTAACTTCAGCAGAACTCTATGGATTTGGACCAAGCATTAAACATATTAATCCAAGGATTGCCTTTCTAATTGCTGTTTTTAGCTCACCTGTTCTATCAAAGCTATGCTCACAGGGAAAAGCCTGAGGAAAGGGACTGACAGAGATTTGCTTCTGTTGTCAAATAGGGTGCGAAGTGATGCTACCTACAGATGCCTCACTCATTTCTGTGCTATTCAGAGTGTGATTTGAGGCTGAAAGAGTTACTTCTGAACAGATCACAAACATCTTTATGAAGATATACACCATATATCTGTGTATATTATAAAGATGCATATCTGTGTATATTATGAAGATATACACAGTATATATACAGTATGTTCTTTCCCTGTATCAATACAAACCGTGCAGAGGGACACCAGCTATACCTCTGCAGTTCAGCAGAAGAGGTTTTGAATATTAACAAGACCTTTGCTTCCCTTTCAGGCCTCTCCTTCCTGCCTGATGAATAAATACATCTAAAATGTCAGTATATATGTGGTAGCAGTGGGTGAGAATTAGCAGCTCAGGAATTCTGTTTCAGGTTCCTCAACAAGCAAAAAGACTAGGGCCAGGGGAGCAGCCAAGGATTACCCCTGAGCTCTCTTAATGAAAAGTGATAAAGAACAGTGAATACATTGATAGTTTTTGACTATTATTATTACTGAAAAGAACAAAACTAGAAAAAGCTTCATGTCCTGTGACTCTTGATCACTGCAGGGCTGCATTTCGGTGCTTCTCCTCTAGAGCCTGAAGGACAGATACGTTTTAGTTAAATTTTGTCAGGGTCATACTAGGTGCTCCAAAAGCAATGCTGGCTTCTGTGCAGAGAGAAAAGATCCCACATGGATACCCTTGCCCTGGACATCTCAGGTTCTGCAAACTGATGGTGAAAAAGGCTCTTCTCAATGACTGCTCTGGTAATGAAGCAGTTAAGTCAGACCTGCATGAAACCCAAGAGGAAAGCACTGGTAAAATGCCTTAGTTTATCTTCTGCCATTATTTTTGCCTGCTCTTTTCCACCTTCTTCCGGTCTTGGCAGCGCATGTTCTACATGGGAAGCTGGATGGGAAATTAGCAAACACTTCATTTGGTTCAACATATGTTAAGGAAGTGGAAACAGCTGGGGGCCAGAGGGAGAACGTGGCTGGCAAGGCAGGTTGTTATTTTTACCCAGAGCCGTTCAGCCAGGTCTCTTTGTATAGAGATGACACTGCCTAGATTTAGCCTGATGTCTTTTAGTGGTTGTCTTGCCTTCAAGTGTTTTGTCTTAGCAGTTCACACACCTGCATGTTTATTCACTGTGATCCATTGCACAGCTTCTCTTTTATCTCTCCCTTTCCTCAGCTCCTCTCTCTTCCTTTTCCTTTAGCACAGCTGCTGCGAGCTGGGGAGCAGAGAGAAAGGAGGCCTGAGCTGGCACTGATGTTGCCTTCCCAACCCTCACTCTTCCCAAAGGAGAGAGCACCTAGGATGAAAGCTAGGCCAAAGCAAAGGAGCCACCAACCTTTTCCAAGTTTGAAGAGACAAACTGAACATGAGTTCTGCAAGGCAGAGGGAGAGGATGTGATGTTAGAGGTGCCCAGGAGAAGGGTCTCACTTAAGTGACTTTCTTGAGACAGAACTGAGGAAGTTAATTCTGTGCAAAATCTGGAGTCATAAGTTACAGAACAAAAACTTGTAGCCACCTGTTGGTGATCTTGTGGCAGGACAGAGTCTTGAGTCATTTTGTGAGGAAACAGAGGTGTTATTCTAGTGGATTAAAAATACCGATTTTCCTTCCTTTCCCAGTATTTTTGAAAAATTGCCTTCAAATCTATTGCCATTTACTTCCAGTTAAGAACTAAGCCAAGCAGTTTGGCACATTTTTGTCCTTCACATGGAAATAGCACATAATGTAGGTCAAGCAAACAGATATTCTTGGTCCTTCTTTAAACCAAGGCCACTTATATGGCTACACAGATTGTTCTTGGCATTTTTATTCAAACATCAAAGACCAAGGCCACTGTGTTTATTTCTTCCTGGTTTGCTAAGGAAAGTGACTTAGCTGAAAACTCTTATTAATATTTTATTACTGTTGTGTACTAACCCTTTCAAATTCCAGAGAACTGAAAAACATTTCCAAGCAAAACACAGTTTTGATTCTTGGCTTCTGTGTGAGAATTTTGTAGCCTAATTTCTGTGTCAAAGATCGCATAAGACTTACCCAGAGATTTATGAGAGTCAGCATGAATAAGATCTATTTTTTTTTCAATATTGACTCTGAAATTGGAGCTCAGCAGCTTGTGCAGAGAAAAAGATGAGGACTAGAGGTCTCTCACTGATTCTGTTGCAATGAAACTCAGACTTAATTCTGATCCATCAAGATATATTTTCAAACTTCCAATAAATGTACTGCTACTTACATGTTTTTCATCACATATGACGCAACAGATTTTAATGGTTTCATTGTTAAGAGATATTTAGCATGTTCTATGGCCCAGGAATAATGTTGTTATTGTTATGTACCTTATGTGCAAGGCAAGGTGGCTTCCTGAATCTGTACTGCCATTGAATGAATGCAGCTTAATAAAACTGGCAGTTACGTTATTGGATTATTTCCAGTTTTTTTAAGTATTATTGAAGTGACACATATTTACTTGTTTCATAATTATCATATACAATAAAATGCTCCGAGGGAAAAAAAGCACGTTACACCACTGTAATAAGCAAAGCTACCATCAGCTAGTTTGCCACTGTTTTCTCTTATTAAGCTGACATTAAGTTAGTTGCTGTATGTTTCTTTTGAAATTTTCCATTTCAGGATTCTAGGTTGCAGACCTGCTTTTTGTTAGTAATAATATACTGTTGTTATTGATGCCAACGAATAGCTTCATTGCTACAATCAGATGTTTCCCATTTTAGAATCCTTTGATTGCCTATCAATCAGATGGTAAAAAGGAGAGGTTCTGTCATAAAACTTTTAAAGAACAAACAAACAAACAAAACATTGAAATCTGGCAATGTAATTCTTGCTTTCTGCTAGCTCAAAGGGACAAATTACCAGGGTCCTCTGAAAAACCAGGACACGTACAAGACTTCATTGCAGCCAAACATTTCAGGAAGTATTGACAGATCTACTTCTGAGACAGAATTTCCTGCTTCCTGCCTTGGTGGATAAAATACTGACACACCATGGTTTCATCTGTTCACTCTGCATATATGCTGACAGAAGCACTCCGGCTTTTAGGGGAGTGTACACTCCAGGTATAGAAACTCGGGATGTTTCTGCACAGAGCAAGACTCTGGCATCCTGTTAGGCTCCCCTGGGGACTCGGAAGGTGAAATCGTAAGTTCACGTGGAGTCCAGGTGCCAGTGGCATGAGGGTGACACACAGCGTTGTTTGCATGAAGGAGGAGGAGCGCTGCCTCCCAGACACCTGGCAGCCTTCGGGACCCTTGATTGAAGAGAGGCTGGCTGAATGGCTAAAGATGTCTCTAGTGTCTCCTCAAAGAGGTTTCTGCCACTTTCTTCACTTTTTTTTTTTGTCATTTATTGCTATCTGTCTGAAGCTTCTTAATCCTCCATCTGGAAAATTATGAGTTATGAGAGTAATGGCCTTCTAAAAATCCATTTTGTTTTGTTTGCACCTGGCAATTCATTCCACTCTTTTTCATATTTACCTGGCCAAGGTTGAACAGTGATCTTGAGACCTGACTGCTGTAACACAATATCCCTAAAAATACCCATATACTTTTAAAAGAGAGAAGTATTCAAGTAGTCCTAAAAATATTGGTCAACTTCTTATTACCACAAGATTTTGTTTGTTTGTTTGTTTTTAAGTTTGGCCTCAGTATAGCATTGGTCACAGCTACTGGGCGGTCCCACTCCAGGCTGTGACAACTTGCAGAAGTTAGTCCACTCTGGAAAGGTGAACCTGTTAGTGCAAACCTCTGGTTAAAGTTGAAGTGAACAGAATAGACAAAGACAGAGAGCCTTCAGGAACATTGTCTGTCTGTAGGCCTTTAGAAAAGTGTAATTTATAGGAAACAATACCTTGGCATTTAAGCTGTCTAGACATGGGTGCCTGCTTTGAATTCATTTTGATGGGAGTTGGGCCTGTGAGGGCTTTCCAAATACCATGGAAAAACTGCTATGATTATCTTTTGGGGGCCTTTGAAATAAATAACCTGCTCAGTTAAGCAGGTCAGGTGCTGACAAAGCCGTGTAAAAAAAGATAGGCAGGCTTTGATATAGTAATGTACAGTAAATGTGGTGGAATATAGCAGGGAGTTTAATGATAGAAGAGCAGCATTTGATTCGTGAACAGAGTTGGAGTCCGGGCTTCCACAAGAAGATAGCATTAAAGAAGTGCCGAAAGTCTGGGGTATGGCTGTGGCTGAAGGCACGTAAAGCACATCCAAGCAACGCATCTGAAAGCTGTTCAAAACGTCTAACTTGGATAAGGATGCCAGGAAACATCTATTTGTAGATATCCTGGGCAGCTGTTGGCAAGTTCTGAAGAAGGAATACAGAGGGCAAAGAAAAAAAAAGAAAAAGCCTGGATGCAACATTCATTTGCACTGACAATATATTCCTCTTCTGCTTCTGAAACATAATAACCTTAACTAGACTGCAAATTGATAAAAAGCTGTAATTAGAGCTCTCTTCTGAAGCATGCATTTACTTCCCTGATGTTATGCAGGACAGTTCCTGTTTTCCTGTTGTTTCCTGTAGCATAAACGTTTATTTAAAATTTCTTTTGTCGTCTGGATAGATTTTGTCTGGAGGAGACGTGACAATCTTCCTGTCCTGATGCTGTTTTTGTGGCCTCAGAAGCAATTGCAGGATATTCCTCTTCCAGTTCCTTCAACGCCTCTCCTAATTCCACTATCTCTGGTGAACCGATCTCTAATAATGTCAAATATCAGCTTTTCATAAGATTTTTTGTAATTACCTGAAAGAAATGTTTTACGTAGAATGGATTGGTGCATAATTTCCCAGAAAATTGGAAAAGTAGAAAAGACTGAAACATTCTTCAAGATTGTATAATTCACAAAGGGTTTGGAAAATCATGTAAGTGAAGTGTTATTCAGAAGATAATCAAAAGAGATGAGAAGAGACAGCAGATTAATTTTACTTGTCTAGATCCTCTGGGGTCAAAAGCAATCTCAACAAAGCATCCAGGGGATTTTTAATTGACTGGGACTTTTTAACAAAATTAATTCTCTCTCTTTGCAGGGGGATGGTCCAGATAATCTCTTGAGGTCCTGCCTTGTGTATGTTTCTGTGGTACCAAAATAGATCTTTGTAGCTCTTTAGCAAGAGATATCCCATGACCATCCATAGAATAGGAAAGTTGAGAGGACTTTCATTAGCCTCTGGACTGCACTGATATTCAGTTTTAAGGTTGGTAAGTTTCTTCACAGCTACACAGCTCTGATTTGTACTGAGCAATCTAGTGGGTAAGTTCAGCTAGCAAAGCATTAGTAGAAAATGTCTGTCAAGTTCAGAGTTGCAGAGAGCCTATCTGAAAATTTGCACACAGGTAACCCTGTAAGGAGTGCTTTTCTGGATTTACCACATGATT